GCAAACGGAAGGGGTGAGTAAGAAAAGCAGGAGGCGAGATCCAGGAGAAGATGGAAGGTGGACAAGGTGGACGGGTAGGATGATGACAAACAGGGGGGGAGGAAAAACCGACGCAGATGGCAATACAAGGAAACATAACCGTGTATCACAACTATGTAACGGACGAAGACGTATCCGAATAAGTACAAACAGGAGGACAACGAAGAGAAACAATCCAACAACCACCTGTAACACCCCATGAACCCTTGGAACACCCTTCGGACCTTGTGCGGTAAGATCGTTCTTTGACATCGTGCGCTCCGGTTTCCGACACCGCGTGAAGCGTTCGAACTCCACTCTCCAGATGCTGTCTGCACCACCTCTCACGGGACGTTCGCGCCGGATTATGTTTCTTATTCGTCCTAGGGTCCGAAAGCGTCCCCCCCTGGTGGACATGGGCGACGCTTGTGACCAGGATGGCAGCAGAGATGGCAATTCGCCACGGTGCCCCCTGGCAAGTTCAAGCGTGTGAGAATGCCAGGTGCTGTCCGGTAAGGTTTCTGTAATATTCTGCCCACCCCCCCTCCCAGCACACTTTTTGCGACGGCGGCTAGGCAGAGTCACTGCGCTGGCGATAGGGCGTTGGTGTGTGCACAAATCGCGAATTATGCCACCATGCAGGAGGGGGAGGGAGGAGGCGCCCGGCGGCGGTGGCAAGGAGAGGTAAGCCGGGCCCGCTCAGAGCGGGGCCAGGCGCGCGGCGAGGGCGGCCCTCCCAGCACACAGTCGCTTGATCCCCCCCGGCGAGCGTTCCTGGGTGCCCTGGCGCATCCCTGGGCTCTCCAAGGCTCCACAAGGCCTCCAAGACGGCCGGGGACGGCTACGTACCAAGGCCGAAAAGATGACCCAACATTGCCTCAGTAGACCCCTGACAACTCCAAAGAGACGCCGAATGGGTCCCAGGATGCTTTCAAGAGGCCCCAACAACTACCCATAACGCCCTCCAGGAGGCCTCCGAGAGGCCAAGCGCGTAGATTCCCCGTCTGCCTGTCAAAATATTCACTTATCCACGATCTTCGGTCAAATGTCGCTCCATTTGCGGTCTTCAATCGCCCATCAGGGCCCACTGAGAGCCCCAAGAGGGTCCCCAGACGGCCCAAGACGGCCTCAAGACAACTCCAAGCTGGCCCAAGAAGGCGTCTGGAGGAATTCCATACGGCTTGAAACAGCCCAGGCTGGCCCTAAGACGACCGAAGATGGCCTCAATGGCGCCCCAATGTTGCCCCACAGGAGCCCCAGACCGCTCCAGGGTGGCTCAAATAAACCCTATGAGAGGTCCTCAGAACTGGAGTCCAGAGGTGTCGCGTGCGACGGCCTTCTGGGCTTTTGGGCGGTGCTCGAAGTGTCAACATACAAAGTGCTTCGCAAGCACGGTGGCGGCTTTGCCGCACCTGGGTTACTATAAACAGGATGGGGTTTAGGATGATACTGATGGCGAGGATTGCCATCATGGCGCAGAAAATGTTGAGTTTGAACATCTCTGACAAGCCAGCGGAAATTCGGTCCGATAGTTATCGTGTTGTGAAGAAACTCGAACTTATTCAATAGCACGATGCCGGCGTGAAGAAATTGCCCAAAGCCGCTCGTGCGTGATGAGGTAGCAAAGATGCGGTACATCTTTGACCACGCCTCAACTGCAATGTATCTATAACATTTTACGGAATAAGCCTTGAGCCCTCTCCTGGCGGGTTCAGCGACGGCTTGCTCCCGACTCCCGACCGCGATCCAACTTCATCCCTTGCAACAAACACAATCCAGTGGACCCCTCCCATCGTAAGATCGTCTTCTTCGTGCCTTCTCAAAACAGCAACGGTGTTCTTGGTCATACATCCTCCCAAACTGCTTGCTTAGGACCGTTCTACCATCCGCGATCTCGCCTCCATCCTACGCAAACCAATCAATTGAGTGAGCATTGGCTGATGTGAACATCGTCTGCGCAATTCAGAAACGGCGCTATCGCTTGATACTTTCCCCCGAAATGCCAATCTCGGATCGTCTAACCATCCGCGACCCCTCCACCCTGTGCCCACAATGCAACTCGTTGAACATATGATGATATTGGCATCGTCTTATCCAAAGAGAAATAGTGTCTTCGCTCCACAATTTCTCCCAATTCGTCCACCTCGGATCGCCTTACCATCCGCGACCCACCCCTCAATCAAATGCAACACACACTTCTGTGAACATCGGTTGATCTTCACACCGTCTTATCAGAACAGAAACGGCGCTCTCGTTCGATGTCTCCCCCCAATTACCCACTTCGGATCGTCTTGCTACCATCCGTGCCCCCATTCCATCCTATGCTTGAAATACCAATAAGTGAATGGCTGATCTTGCCTGAGTCCCATCATGACATTCGCGGCGTTCCCACAAGAGACATCCCCCAGTTTACCGACTTCGAACCGTGTCGCCGTCCGAGACCGGATAAAAACGGCGCCCTCGAAAGCATCGCCACCATGGCCATCATCATCGCTAGCTGTTGAAATCAAGCCCCTGAAGTCATCTCCATCATCATCAGTTACTCCAACAGGACGGCCATCGCCATTCTCCTCGCAAGCGTTCTCGCCGCCACCACCATCAGCATCAACATCCACATATGCATCTTCATCCGTCCCGACACCGCAGAAGGCCTCAAGGAGCAGAGGAATCCAGACTGCGTTGACACGAGTGCGCGCTCCCGTCACAATATAAAACAGGTCAATGATATGAGGACGGTTGAGGGCGGGGGGCGAGCTAATACACTGCTGGCTCGAAGTAGGCAAGAACAATGAAGCTTGTCATGTAGCGGGGGGGGCCGATTCGCGAGGGCCTACGACTGTACCCGCCGAGCAAGCGCGGCTCCATATAATTCTCAAGGGACAAAATCTCCCGTCTTTATCGCCGGCGTTCGCACACAATTCGTTACCACTGCCTTCCCATCGCCCCCGACATCATCGTCATCACCGCCATCGCCGCCATCACCCTCATCATCCTCGCCTACAGCTTCCGCGTTGGAGCGAACGTCGTCGTCGTGGTCTCGTCGTCATTCTCACCCTCCTCGCAGTCACCCTCGCCGCAAAAAGTGCCGCCGCTATCCATGTCGCACTGAGGGGGACGGGAAGAGCAGCACGCAAGAGCAGAGAAGAGTTACAGAGAGGCTCCTCCTTCTGCTCTTCCTCCTCAGCCTTCCTCTTCCTTCCTCCTCCTCCTCCTACTGAAGTCCTTCCTTCCCGTCCCCCATCGTCCTTCCTCCCTCCCACTCCCTTCGCCCTCGTCCCCCTCATCCACCATCCACACTCCGCCTTCTCCTACCCCCTCCTCCATCCCTTATTATTACGGAGAGCTCCTCCCTGTCGCACCCCCAGACGTGTCGGTATAGCGGGTCGGGCGTTTCGCTTGAGACTTCCTGGCCACTCACGATCCTGAAACTTGGGATGTGCAACAGCTTCAAACATGGAGGGCGAACCGTCTTCAAATGTGGCTCTCTCTCTCTCTCTCTCTCTCTTTATCGCGCATTCGTCCTCAAAGTTTGCAACAATTCCAAGGTTGGACGGTCGGCTGTTTTCAAAATTTGGCTCCCGCATTAGCGCCGCGCACACTCGTGTTAAGAAGTAACACTCTCAAGGATGTAGGACAGGCTGTTTTCAGAATGTGGTTGTCGCCTTAGTGCCGCACGCATTCGTCTAAGAAGTTCGTAGCCACTATGGAATACGGTTCTTTTTCAAATGTGGTTGTCGCCGTGGCGCCGAGCACCTTCGTCGCACAAGTCCTGAAACAGCTTCAAGGATGGATGGCGGTTCCGTGTCAAAATGTGGTTCTCGCCTCATCGCCGCGCACCTTCGCTTTAAACGTTTAAACGTTCACAGCAGCTTTAAGAAACAATCGCGTTGATTCGGAGTGGAGTCCCAGGAGTGGTGATTTGACACGAATCAGAAGTATCCGACGGTGGTCCTTCAATGGGAAATGCATTCTTGCAGGGACTTCCAACGTCATTGATGCGTCTGCGGTTTACACTGGTGCCACCCCCTCCAACCCCCCTCTTCCCCACTCCCACACCCGTCTCCCGTCCTCCTCAGTGGCAATGGCCGAAGGCCCAAAAGGGGTGCGGTTCCTGCGCGCCCGCCAGACGGAGCAGCCGCCCAACGCTGGAGCCGTAGGGCGCCTGCGGTCGAACGTTGCCTCCGCCGCCACCAGCCTTCGTCGTTGTTGAATTTACACGATCAATTATTGTTGATCACCCCCGGGCGGCGGCCTTTTTTTATTGAAGTGCCCCCCCACACCCTGTTTTTCATCAAAGGAAATCTTGGGGTTCCAAAATGTGTTGTTGGTCCCCGGTTTCCACCAGCAGCGGGTCCCGCCTGAAACTTCCCCGCATGTTCTTCAAAATCGCGCTCCCGCGCGGGGCGTCCGCATAATTCAGCTCTGGAATCGCGCTCTCGCTTGGAACGCCCTTGCAATCCATGCAGACGCCGCGCCCTCGACGTCTAGGATCCGCGCTCTCGCACACGACCGACTCGTGATCAGTCTTCAACTGCTGGTAAACTCGAAATCCGATGACGTTTGACCGATAGGCACCGATGCAGAAAAATAACACGTCGTAGGCTGAATCGTCGCCGAGGCCGAGGCAAGTGAGGGGGCAGGGCGGGAGGAAGTCCGCGGGCGAGCGAGGAGGTGGAGGAGGCGTGGGCAGACGATATAGTTGGGCCAACGATTGAGACCGTGCTCGCACCCCAACAGACAAAGCTGTTGCACCCAAACGGGCATCCTACACAATGTAATCAACCCCTGGGCAAAGGTCTTCAGATGATCCCCAGCCCACGACGGCTGCGAGCGGGAGAGGATAGCACAACCCGCAAGGACGTCCAGCGCTGGGCCATGATCTCCGGAGTGGGGGGGGGCAATCTCGGGAAGCCAGACCCTTATCCTTCGGAGGAAGAGAGACGGGAGGTCGTCAGGGAAAAGGAGAGTGGTGAGGGTCCTGGCATACGCTCGATGTAGCCTGGCACGGCGTTTCTGCGCCAAGGCAGTGGCGAGCTCGGAGCGGGTGGCCGAAGCAGCGACTAGCAAGTGGCCATGTCTCGTGGCAACTGGTGGGCGCAACTCGGCGACCGCACAGAGGTACTGGGCAACGGACTCCTGCCTCCTCCAACATCCAGGGCTCCGTTACTGACGGACGAAACGGACAAGAGGACCATGGAGCAGCGCAGACTCTCCGAGCCGATACGCAGCCGGGTAAGCCCGAGCGACAGCGGCCTAACCAAATCGTAACGCAGAAGCCTGGGCAAGCACAGTCATGGAGCCCTGGCCAAGCCAGGGCAAGCACAATCATGGAAGCCTGGGCAAACACAGTCACGCTTTCAAACGGACGGGGGGAGAGGATCATGATGCGGAGGACAGGGGGAACAGGAGGGAAACGTGGAGGAAAAGGTGGAGGAGAGGGGGGAGAAAACTAGAAACTAGGAAGCCCAACTGAGCACATCGCGCGCCGTGATGCGCGGGTATCTTCGCGCCCTCGCGCCTCCGCCCTAGAGAAGGGCAGCAGCCCTGGCACAGACCGCGTCGCGCGATTATCTTCGCGCCCACCGCGGGTGCCCTAGTGAATAGGAGGGAGGGGGACGAGGACGAGGAGGAAGATAAGGGTGGAGAGGTGTGGGGTGGGGAAGCGCGATGGAAAGTGGGCCGGGGGAAGAGCGGAACGGACCGGAGCGCTTGCAATCCGAGATGAACTCCCTGGTACAGCCTGCACACAAAACTCTATAGATCTGCGTCGCTCGCCTTGGAAGGGAAGGGTGGAGAGGGGGGGGGGATGTGGAGGCTGGGGAGGAGTCGGAAGGACGCCTGGATCTCTACGCCACCGCTCTCCCACATGCCCCACAAGACGAAGGTGACTTTCGGCTCTTCGGCCTGGACCTCCCCCCCGCCCGTGCCCTTGCTCCGGCGTCGTGGTGCTCCTGCTCATCTCCTGTCATCTCTGGGCTATGGCGCATCTGCATCCTTCTGATGCTACTGCTGTCCCTCCGTCTGCCTCCTCCTTCTTTCTAATTATCCTCTTCCTTCTGCTCCTTCAATTCTGCCGTACCCTCTGCCTCCGCCTGCTCCTCCTCATGCTGCTGCTGCCGGCGCTTCTCCTCCCAAGGCCTCATCCTTCTCCTCGTCATCGTCCTTTTCCTCCTCGGTGTCCTCCTCATGCCTTTTCCTGAATCATCTTCTGCTGCCTCCTCATGTTGCAGCTCTTCATTCTGCACATCCTCCTCATCCTCACCCTCTACCTTCTTGTCCTGCTCTTCCTCCTCGACTCCTCTTCTGCCTTCTCCTCCGCCTGCTGCTGCCCATGCTGCTGCTCAGCTTCCTCCGTGTTTCCCTCGCCCTCATTCTCGACTTTTGCCTCCTCTCCTCTCCCCTTCCTGTCGTGGAGCCCGCGGGGCGTCCCCAAAGATCTCCAGAGGCAAACAACACAAAAAATAGTACAAAGCTATCGGTACCGCGATCCTCGACCCCGTCTCGTCGTCTTCGTCGTCGTTGCCCTCGACCTGGACCTGCCTCGAGAGCTCCTGGATCGCCAGGCTGGCCGCGACGGGCAGGCTGGCGCCCCGATCCGCGAGATCCGGGGCAAGGCCTGCCGCCGCTGCCGACGCCGCCACCGTCGTCGTCGTCGTCGTCGTCGTCGTCGTCGTCGTTGTCGACGTCGTCGTCGTCATTCTAGCTATAAGAAAATCGAAGGGGCAAAAACAATCACGGCAATCACATTCAAACAAATGTCCAACGATAACTCCGTTTTGACAAAGGTATGCCCTCTATCCGTGAAAGCGCTGCACAGCTTCACCTTCCTGCTATCAATGCATAAGCAGTTCTAAGGCGAACACCACTTTGAACACATAAACTTCACATCACCATGTCTAAACTTTGAACCATGACTGTTTGGAAGAATTCCGTGTGGAAGCCGAACTGTGAGAACGAGCCTGCCCGCGTAACTCATGCAAGTGTTTAAAACCAATGCGCTGATCACGCCGACGACGGTGACGGCGCCCTCGCGTCAGTGATGCAGGTTTTGGAGGCAGGTTCGACATGCGCGCGCGGCCGGCGCGCGACTGGTCCGCAAACTGTGATTTGACACGCATCGCGCCCCCCACCCCCCCAACACGCGCGCAAGGGCGTTCGAATGATTCCGACGTGCTGCGCGAGGGGCTCGGCTGGCTAAGTTAAATGAGAATGTTGAACACAAAATATACGTTTTCTTAAGAATTCGCAGGGGCGCGAGCGCAGGCATTTTGGACATTGCTGCTACAACACCATGTGTTTGTTGAACTGCCGTCGGGGTACTCAATTTTGAAATCCATACGCAACCTAAAATTGTTAGAGGATTTTGGCATGCGCGCGCGACGCCGCGAGCGTGCGCACTTCGTCCCGTTGTTTGCATGGGCTTCTTGCGACAGCACGCCCGCAAGGGCCTTCGAGCGGATCCGACACGCGCGCTCGAGAGGTCCTTTGGTAGCGAGCCATTTGAACAAATTTGAAACATAATAATGATTCTTTAAGAACTCGCAAGAAGAGCCCGCACGTAGATGCTTTGTTTGAAAAACTCGTGTTGCAAAACCACGTATTTGACATAGTTAACGGGGCGCTCTCTATTGACATTTTTTACGCAACCCACGGACTTTGAACGATTTCAGCATGCGCGCGCGACGGCGCGCGCATGTGCATGTTGTTAAGATTACAAGGGGTTCGTGGAAACGTGTGATGTTTTATGAACGAATGTACGCACACAGTTCTTGTGCAGAGAATGAATGGGTATGGGCGGATTCTGGCCTGCATGGGCTGGTAGGAATTCGTATTTAGGATGTCAAATGATGCCATGCGGGCCACCCGCTCGCATCGGCCGCGCGCGCATGTCGACCTCCTTTCCAAACCTTCATCACCGACACAATCATCATCAGCGCCGTCATCATCGTCACCAGCAACGCTGCCATCATCATCGTGTCTACCGTCGTTTACGTCGCCATGATACCGCGCCCGCCCGGGTCACCGACTCGCAGTGAATTGCCCGCTGGGAAGTGCCAGCGGTCAGCGCCACTGCGGCCGTGTGGGTCGCGCCCAACTAGCTGACAGCTGTGTGTGCGTGCGTGCGCGGACCAGCGCGGCCGCCGAGATGCACAGGCCAACAAGAAGCACCCATCTCACTCGCCGCAGCGTGGGTTTTGCAAACCAAGTTGCGTGAGGGTGGATTGAAATTCTTGCGCAGGCCGTGGATACGACAACGCGCTTTCAAAATTAAGCATCATTTTTACAAAAGGATAAGATCGCCCCCCCCCCCCCCTTTAGGTCGAAATTGATGAACAGATTGGAGAAACAATAAAAAACAGTTTGCTGTAGAATTCGCAAGAGAGCGCGCGCGCAGACCTTTTGTGAGAGCTGGTGTTGAAAAGCCACGTGTTTCTGTATGTGTTCGGGACACTCGGTTTGCAATTCCTGACATATACTGACGAGGTTGACGGATTTCGGCATGCACGCGCGACGAAATGTGCGCGCGTGCGCTTCGTTCCGAACTATTGCCATACAAGGTTGCGCCAACACGCGCGCAAGTGCATTCAAATGATGTTGACATGCGCGCGTGAGAAGCACGTTTGGTAAAACGTGCTGGACTGATGGACATGCTTCAAACAAACGATGGTAGTTTTACGAGTTCGCAAGGGCGCGAGCACAGACTCTTTTGAGCACTCCTGTTGCGAAGCCGTTGTTTTATATGTTTTCGGGGCGCTCGATGTTCAAATCCGGACGCAAGCCGTGGTTGCTGGAGGATTTCGGCATGCGCGCGCGACGACGCGCGCGTGTGCACTTCGACACATCTGTTGAAAAGGGGGCATTCGAAACTGTTGCTTTTTGCTAAGCGAGTCGCGCAGCCAACACGTTTTGCAAAATATGAGGGGGGACCGGTAAGGGACTGCCGGGGATGGTGCGGATTCATACTTGGGATGGGCGGTTGGGGCAAAACCACTTGGAAGCCGCGATGCAGAAAAGCGGGCCGTTGCGCCAGGGGGGAGGTCGATCCTAATAACTCTTTAGAGACGATAACCGGTGTGGTGCAATCTATGTTGCACAACAAATGGGGCGCAATCTATGTCGTGTAATCTCTATGGTGCTGAATGCTGTGCGCTACGTGTATACATACATATACCGAGAGGGACACACACACACACATATATATATATAGAAACATATGGAGAGAGGGGGCGATAAATCTGCGTGGTGCAGTCCATTCGGCGCAGAACATACTGACATCATATGTTGTGGCATTTTTGTTTTGCAACCAACATGGTGCACTATATGTTGTGCGATCTAGTTGGTGCGATTGATTTTTACAAACGAGTTGGCACATCCCATGCTCTTGAAAACATCACACCCACCCACCCGCGACTTGGTTCGCAAAAGCCGTGCGGCGGCGATTGTGATGAGTGCTTGGCGTTGGCTGGTGCATCTCTGCGGCCGCGCCAACCCAAGCACGCGCGCGCAGCGGCCAGGTGGTTTGGCGCGACCGACGCGGCTGCGGCGGCGCTGACCGCTGGGCACATCCCAACGGGCACTTCAGTGAAAGTCGGCGACTTCGGCGGGCGCGGTATCATGACAACGTCGACAACGGTAGACACGATGATGCTAGTAGTGATGCTGGTGGCGGTGTTGGCAACGACTGCATGACCAATGACGGCGCCGATGCTGATCACGCCGACGACGATGAAGGTGTCCTCGCGTCGGTGATGAAAGTGTTGGAAGGAGTTCGATATGCGCGCGCGGCCGACGGGCGTGAGTTGCCCACATGCCGTGATTTGGCACGGATAGTGCCCCCCCCCAACACGCGCGCAAATGGAGTGCGAATGATTTCGGCATGCGGCGCTAGAGGCCCGTCTGGCATTTCCAAACAAATGCTGCGTTTGAAAAATGATGTTGCGAAACCCAGTGTTTTTTATATGGTTTCGGGGCACTCGGTTGTGATTTCTTGCGAAACCGAAGTTTGTGTCACTGATTTCGGTATGCGCTCGCGACGACGCGCGCGCGCATTCCGTCCCATTTTTGCAGAAAGGGCTCTTGCGACGGCACGCGCGCAAAAAAACGCACGAATTGCTCTGACATGCATATGTTCTTTCTTGACGCTCGATTTTGGAACCCTTAGTACGCCCTTCGGCCCATGCGTTGCAAGAGGTTCTTGGAGAAACTTATGCTGCTTGATAACGGATGCGAGGGCATCGTATAGTTTCCAAAAGAGGGCGGGGGGGGGCGATGCTGGCCCCCTTGGGCTGTTATGAACTCATGTTTCGGAAAATCTGTAAATTTGCAATGCGAGAAAGGGGGCCGATAGTCCCGGGGGGGAGGGGCGGGAGGGGGAGAATCGATTCTTTTTTATAGAATAGGAGAATATAGACTGTGCAATCAATGTGGGGCAAAATAGGCTGTACATTCTATGTGTGGTGCCGTCTAGTTAGCGCATTCCATGTACAATCTAGGTTGTGCAAAATATGTGGTGCGACCTGGGTTGTGCAATCTAGGTGGGGACACCAACCTAGGTCGTGTGTTTAAATATACAGATGCTTGCTCATACATGTATATAGGCGGCGCGGTCGATGCTGCGCAGCGCATGTTACGCAATCTACGTGGTGCAACCTAGGTGGTGCAATACATGTGGTGCAACAGATGTAGTTGCACCTGTTTTTTTGGCGATCAATCTATATATAAATATGATGTTGTCTATGTGGCTTATTGTATACATATATATATACACGCATACATCTATATATATATAGAGAGAGAATGCAACCTGTGTGGAGCAACCTGTGTGGCGGCGGCGAGGCGGCGACGGGGCGGCGACTGCGGCAAACCGCCACCCAGGCCCAGCTCCATAGACAAGTATGACGCCCCCTGAGTGCAAGCACTCTTTGAGGATGAAGGATGGGGAGAAGCAGAAGGAGGAGAGAGAGGGGATATATGAAGGGGGGAGGGAGAATGGTTGATGCAGGAGGGGCGGAGGGAGAACTGGACGGAGGGAGGGGCTGCGAAATGGGAGAAGGAGGGAGGGAGGATGAGGGATGAGTGAGGAGTGGGGGAGACAGTGGCCAGAGAAGAAGGGAAAGGATGAAGGTTGAGCAGGGCGGATGGTGCATGATGCAGGAGGGAGAGGGAGGGAGGAGCAAGGGAGGAGGAAGGCTGGGAAGGGAGAAGTGGGGAGGGAGAGAGGAATGTGGGGAGGGCGGGAGGGGAGGAGATGAGATGGGGGGGTGAGGAAGAGGGAGGCTGGGGGAACGAAGGAGTGTGGGGAATGGAATGGAGGGAGCGGGAGGACGTGGTAGAGGAGGGGGAGAAGATTGGGAGGACGGTTTGGTGGAGGGGGTGTGGGGGAGGGGTGGGGAAGGAGAAGTTGAGGAGAGAGGGTTGGGAAAAATGAGGGAGGGAGGAGGGGCAATGAGATTGAGGTGTGGGGTGGTGGGGGGGGGGGGGGGGGGGCAAGAGGAACGGCAAGAACGCTACGGAGCTCACCCTTCGCACCCCCGACACGGTCATGTTCCCTCTCATGCTCCTCCGCCGTCCCCTCCTGCTGCCCTCCCTCCTCATCCCCAGACTGTTGCTCTTCCTCCTCCTCGTCCTCCACCTGTGCCTCCTCATCCTCGTCCTCCTCCTCCCCGTTCTCGTCCTCTTACCCAACCTCCCCATCATGGTCATGGCCATAATCATGATCATGATCATGATCAAGATCATGATCATCATCATCATCATCATCATCATCGTCACAACCACGAGCATCATCATCAGCATCACCAGCATCATCGTCATCATCATCATCAGCAGCATCATCATCACCATCACGCCACCATCATCAGAAACAGACTTATCACCACCACCATCACAATCAACATCACCAACATAACCATCAACATCATTACATCATCACATCATTACATCGACGATGACTGTCCACCACCACCACCGCCATCGTCACCGTCACCACAACCACCACGACCAACACCATCACCACCAGCATCAACACAATCACAACCATCACCACTACCATCTTCATCATCATCATCATCACCACCACCATCACCATGACCATGACCATGACCATGGACATCACTATCACGATCAGCATCACCACCACCACCATCGCCACCCCCACCATGGACCATCACCAGTATCAGCACCACCATCATCATCATCATCATCATCATCATCATCATCATCACACTTCTCTCCCTCTCAATCATCAGCGTCGCCGCCATCATCCTCATAATCATCCTCAGCATCACCCTTATCCTCATCGTCACACTCATCCCCGTTCCCATCCCCATCCCCCATCCTCATCCGCATCCTTGTCCTCAGCATCATCTGCATCCCCCTCCTCCTCATCACCATCGTCATCATCAGCGTCATCACCATCATCATGATCAACCTCATCACCAGAATCATCATCATAATCATCATCATCATCGTCATCAGCATAGTCATCATGGTCGTCATGAGCATCGGCATGAACATCATCATCATCATCAGCATCAGCATCATCATCATCGTCATCAACATGACGGTCACCATCATCATCATCACCACCATCATTATCACTCTCGTCATCGTTAACACCATGAACACCACTCTCGCCATCGTAATCATCAACTGCATCGTCGTCATCATTATCATCATAATCACCGCCATCATTATCATCATCATCTGCAGCAGCATCATCGTCATCATCACCATCACCGTCACCTTCACCATCGCCATCACCATCGTCGTCATAATCATCATCACCATTATCATCGCCATCACCATCATAAGCGCCATCACCATCATCACCATCATCACTATCATCATCATCAGCAACATCATCCTCGTCTACTTTTCCCTCCTTCTACTCTCCCTTCTCACCACCCCCTCCGCCTCCTCGTCATCATCCTTCCTGCTCCTGCTCCTCCTGCTCCTGCTGCTCCAGCTGCTGCCCCCGCCGCTGCTCCTGCCCCTCGCTCAAGAGGGCGCTAGACGCTGGGAGAACCCGCTCCAGGCCCCGAGGGGCGCCTGGGTTCTCGGGGTTCACGCGGATCAGGCGCGCCCCGGGGAACCTGCGCACGACCGACTCCAGCTCCTTGCGCACGGTCGGGACAGTGAGGCCGCAGCCTATCTCGACGCACGCCACCCGGAGGCTCTCCCTGTCCGCCCGGGCCTCCAGCCCCTTCAGCCACGCGTCGTACTTGGCGAACTGCGCTCCGCGCCGCGCCCTCGAGAACCCGGCGTCGCCGCCGAACATCTGCACGTTCGGCCGCGCCACGGCCCGGCACTTGGGGCAGGTGGGGAGCACGCCGCGGGCGCGGTGGGTGGCCTCGTCCTCGGACAGGCCGAGGTCCCGCGGCGCGCGCCACACGTCTGGGCAGCAGGGCACCGAGCACTGCAGCCACCTCACCGCCCCGTGCACCTCCAGGACGCTGTCGGCCCGCATCCCGGAGGCCGCCCAGTGGCTGTCGATGTTGGAGGTGAAGGAGAAGAATCCCAGCGGGCACCTCTGCGCCAACTCCCGCACTGCGGCGTAGCCCGGGTGGGGGACCGTGCTCTGGTAGGTGCGGTGGCAGAAGTTCCAGAACGCCCACCCGAGGTGCGGCTCTTCCTGGAACCACCTGGGGTGGCAGATCTCCTCGTAGGCGAGGCCAACCGCGTCCAGCCCGGCCCACACGCCCCGGCGGCTGCCCCGGAAGGTGTTCAGACCAGAGTCGACGCCCATGCCGGCGCCAGAGCCTATGAGGATTGCGTCCGCGTCCGCGATCCAGGCTGCGGCCGTTCCGAAGGCGCGGGCGATCTGATCCTTGCTCGTTTTGTCCAACCCTCCCGTGTTGGGTTCCCGCTGTGAGTAAAGGTATTCCCATGCCATCCTTCTTGCCACCTCTTTCTTCCTCTCGCGCTTCCTGCTTCTCCCTTGGCGACACCGTGTACTCCTCTCATTATCTATGATCGCTCTTCTCATTGTATCATTCCTCCGTGTTCTCGGGCTCGTCCTCAGTCGTCTTTTCTGCCTCCACATGTATGATCCCCTTTCCTGCCCTTAGAGGTCTGCTGAAATTGTAAATCGCGTTGGATTGGTATTTTCCGCATATTGAATAGACTTCTGGATGAGAGGTCTAATGAATTGCCCTCATGGGGCGGGTCCAGCGGGACAAAGTCCTACAATGGAGGGCCTCCTACGAAAGGGTCCAACATGATACTACCACACGACGGATTTCAGACACTCAAACACGGGACCCTCTTTACAGTCGACACCTCATGATTCCGGCGCGGACACGTGATGAGTCTCGGAGGCTCAACACGAATCGACACTAGATGGTTTCAACTCATTGGGTCCTACGCGATACGGTCCTGAGTAGTAGGGTCACTAACCATAGCGTCCCGCACAACAGAGTCCCACACGACAAGGTCTCACAGGGTATTGTCTCTCACGGTAGGGCCCAGCGTGATAGCCTGCTACACGATAGCGTACCCCAGGAAAGGGTCCGCACCCCGTCGCATATCACTGCGCCGAATCACTGTTTGGGGTCCATGCTTGAAATATGTTCAAACATAACCAAAGGGACACAACAACCGCTCCTTGCTCATGGCTGCGTTGACCAACAACCGCTCGTCGGGCATCGAGCACCCCTTCGGCCGGATGGCGCCTGTCGTCATCACGAACATCTCCAGCTGCTGCTTCGACCAATACTTGGCCTGCAGGTTTCCAATGTTCCCTGGAGGTTTTGAATTGGCTCTTGGCGTTTGTTTCCCATGCCTGCTGGCGATTCCGGGCAAGCTGATGACTAACATTTTGTGGCTCTAGGAATTTCCTGTTTGGGTGTGTGTTGGGCTCCTGGGGTTTATCTCGGGTTCCTCCAGCGGCAGCGACACGTCGGGGTTCGAGTAGCTGTCGAGGATATCCTGGATCTCTGCCTTGGACAGCGCCCCCTCCTCCCAGATCTCCTCGACAATGACCTAGCTGATGGCCCAAATGTCACCGCGACTATACGCACCACGCTTTGCACACGTGTTGTTGCGTTTGCGTACGTACTTGCCACCGTGGACTACAACAAGTGCGTTATCACACCCAGGGTGTCTCTATGGTGTAATATACGTGGGGTCGCAAGCCATGTGATGCAAAACGTAGGTCCCTGCATATAGATATACAGATGAATAAATGTAGGTAACATACGATGGATCTCTCTCTCGAAATACATATATATATATATCTATATAAGTGCACCGTTTAAACCATATGATGTCGGCGTGCAGAAATACTGAGCTGTCACTGGTGTAGCCCGTGCCATGTGATGCACCATTTGTGGCGCAATATAGGTGTTACAGTATACGCGAATGCAAACTGCGTGGTGCAAGCAATTTGGACCCATCTGTTTGGTGCTATCTACGTGGTGCACTTCATTCCTGTCAACTTGTGATTTGCCAACCCCACCGCTCGGCCAATTATCCCACTATCCCACCCGCAACCTGTTCTGCAAAGCCAATGCGGCGGGCATTGCGACGACTCCTTGGCCTTAGTTGGCGCGCGCAGGCTCGCGCGCAGAGCGGCCAACTGGTTTGGCATGATGGCACTTACCGATGGCATCTTCCCACCTCGTCTCCAAGGCCGCGCCGGCGCGCGGCCACTCCAATGTGGGTCGGTGGCTCGGGCGGGCGCGGCATCATGGCGACGTCGACAACGGCGGCAACGATGATGATGGAATCGATGGTGGTGGCGATGATGACGCTGACGGCGGTAAGGCCAATGACGGCGCCAATGCTGGCAACGCCGATGACGATAACGCTGTCCCTGTGTCGATGAAGAAGGTGCTTGGGTGATGATGGCGGCACTGGCGGCGATTGTCGAGGACGACGACGTGATGCGGCGGCGCTGATGAGGGTTATGGTGAGGAAATGCGCGCGCGCGGAAATCCAATAACCTTGGCGAACTCTTTGTGGTGTTCATACGCTCTGCCGAGCTCTATACTAAAATGTTTCGATCACCGCTAGTGTTGGACGGATTTCGACACGCTCGCGTGGTGGCGCGCGCGTGGCCCGCATGGCCTTATTTTTACGAATTCGCGCACTGGTCGCATGCTGGATCAGCGCGGATGCACAGCGTGGTGAAATTAGAATGCGCGTACTGGACGAGACTGCTAACATCATATGGGTTCCCCACAGTATTCCAACAACTGCGCGCGGGCAGATCATTTGCGAGATCTGGTATGGAAAACCTGACTGGTGTTTGATGTGTTTAAGCGCTGACAAAAACGCGGCATGTTTGACATTATTTTCGCCATGTGCGCGCGCGTGTGGACTTAGCGCCAGTCTTGCGAGAGGCTGTGAAGCCAATATTTCCCAACCATCCTGTGGTGTTGGGTCCTCGTTTTGAAGAGACGGTGCCCCGCGTTCTCCCTCCTTCCTTCCTCCCGCTGCCTCCTCCCCCCTCCCATCATCATCATCATCAACACCCATTTCGGCACACCCCTCACACGTTTCGTGGCTCCATAGGGAGCTCCACCGAAGGCCCCAGTGCCCGCGGCCGCATGCGTCCCCCACACCCATTTCGGCACACCCCTCACACGTTTCGTGGCTCCATAGGGAGCTCCACCGAAGGCCCCAGTGCCCGCGGCCGCATGCGTCCCCCACACCCATTTCGGCACACCCCTCACACGTTTCGTGGCTCCATAGGGAGCTCCACCGAAGGCCCCAGTGCCCGCGGCCGCATGCGTCCCCCACACCCATTTCGGCACACCCCTCACACGTTTCGTGGCTCCATAGGGAGCTCCACCGAAGGCCCCAGTGCCCGCGGCCGCATGCGTCCCCCACACCCATTTCGGCACACCCCTCACACGTTTCGTGGCTCCATAGGGAGCTCCACCGAAGGCCCCAGTGCCCGCGGCCGCATGCGTCCCCCACACCCATTTCGGCACACCCCTCACACGTTTCGTGGCTCCATAGGGAGCTCCACCGAAGGCCCCAGTGCCCGCGGCCGCATGCGTCCCCCACACCCATTTCGGCACACCCCTCACACGTTTCGTGGCTCCATAGGGAGCTCCACCGAAGGCCCCAGTGCCCGCGGCCGCATGCGTCCCCCACACCCATTTCGGCACACCCCTCACACGTTTCGTGGCTCCATAGGGAGCTCCACCGAAGGCCCCAGTGCCCGCGGCCGCATGCGTCCCCCACACCCATTTCGGCACACCCCTCACACGTTTCGTGGCTCCATAGGGAGCTCCACCGAAGGCCCCAGTGCCCGCGGCCGCATGCGTCCCCCACACCCATTTCGGCACACCCCTCACACGTTTCGTGGCTCCATAGGGAGCTCCACCGAAGGCCCCAGTGCCCGCGGCCGCATGCGTCCCCCACACCCATTTCGGCACACCCCTCACACGTTTCGTGGCTCCATAGGGAGCTCCACCGAAGGCCCCAGTGCCCGCGGCCGCATGCGTCCCCCACACCCATTTCGGCACACCCCTCACACGTTTCGTGGCTCCATAGGGAGCTCCACCGAAGGCCCCAGTGCCCGCGGCCGCATGCGTCCCCCACACCCATTTCGGCACACCCCTCACACGTTTCGTGGCTCCATAGGGAGCTCCACCGAAGGCCCCACACGTTTCGTGGCTCCATAGGGAGCTCCACCGAAGGCCCCAGTGCCCGCCGCCCGCATGCGTCACCCCGGCACACCCCCATCCATTCGGCACACCCCCCGCATTTCTCGCACGGCAGGGTCATCACCACGGTGGCGTGCCAGGGGCGCACCGTGCGCGAAGGCGACGGGGCGGGGGAACGGCGCTCCGGGGGCGGCCAGACCTCCGGGGCGCGAGCAGTCCGCGGCCAGACCATCTCTCGGTCCTGTGGACTCTCGCCCTGGGCCGTCGGCTGCCCGGCGCGCTGCTCCCTCGGTCGACGTCGCCCAGGCGTGATCCTGGATTGCGGCCGCCACGAGGTAGGGAACGGCAAGAAGGAGGACGACGACTGGTGGCTGGAGCTCTACGTGCTGCTCTCGCGCGCCACGCGCCACGAGGACCTCCTGCTCATGCGGGCGCCGCGCATCGAGTTCTTCCTGGCAGGGCCGCCGCAGGGCTTGCGGAAGCAGCTGGAGCAGTTTGCGGCGCGCACGAAGCGGTGCAGGAGGGAAGCGACGGCCCTCGCCAGGGAGCTCGGCTTCACCGAGTTCATCCGCGAGGCCTCATCCGCGAGGCCTGACCTGAGGAGCGTCTCCCCCGAGCCGCGCCTTCTCTCGACTGCCCGACTAATTGTTTGGCCTCGCGCCGCGGACGACCCGCGCGCGTCGCTGGGACCCTCTCGGGGCGACCAGCGCGCGTCGCGGGAACTCCGTGCTGCGGGGGGCCCGGCGCCTCGTTCGCCCGTCGTCGCTCTGCCCAGCGGTCAGAGACTTGCCCGCTATCAGCCAGCCAGTTAGCTAGTCAGCTCTCTCTGCTTCGCGCAGCGGACGATCCGCGCGCGTCGCTGGGACCCCGCCCGGGGCGACCAGCGCGCGTCGCGGGGACTCCGCGCTGCGCTGCGCCCGCAGCCTTGGATTTTGGAGTGCGCGGGCAAAGAGGAAGGAAAGGAAGAGCCGAAAGCGGGCGCGATCCTCGCAAGAGGCGTGCCGACATGGGCGTCGCGACGTGCGGACGCTGCCGTCGGGGTTCCCGCGGAAGCTGCCTGCGGCGGCCACGCCCAGTGTCACGTGTGTTCGGACAGGCATGCTCGACACTTACACTAGGCGGTTCCATGATCGCATTCATGCAAATATATTCACTCGCGCGCAGACCCATTCATACTCAGATTCCCTCGCGCTCTGACTCACCCGCGTTCTTTCTCTCGTAATCAGATCAATCGTATTCCTTTGCGTTGTGTACCCCGCCACATTTCGGCACACCCCTCATGCGGTTCGTGGCCCCATAGGGAGCGCCACCGAAGAAAATACTCCCAATTGCGATACTCACAACTGCATATGGTTGGGTCCTTCGCCAGGATAGTTTTTTTGGCGATGAACGAATGCGCGCGCGTAATACAATTTGAGGGGTTCAAGGGAGGGTGGGGTGGGCGATATCCGTCCTGCCTGGGGTGGTATAACCTCCCCCTGAATCACTCCCTGCAGCTGGGAAGGAGGGAAGAAGAGGGAGGGGGGCGGGAGGGAAACCGAAAGAGGTTCAGAGCGCAGCAGGGAGGGCGGGAGGAATGGAGTATGGAAAAGGGGACGCTGGACCCTTCCCTCGGAGTATTATTTACGCACCAGCCCCTCGCCGACCGCTCCCGTTCGGACCCGTCCGCCGACCCCCCGGGAAAGGTTCAGGAGAGGGTGGTGGTCTATGAAACTTCCCCTCCCGAGCGACTTTTTATACACCGACACCCTCTCCTGAATCCGACGGGTGACCTTTGAAACACACCCTCCTGTAGGTTCTCCAGGGGCCCCAACGCCCAAAACTTCCGAGAGGGCATAATGTGTCGCGCGCCAGGTCCATCAGGGCCCGAACCTCGACATCTCAATGCTCGATGTCAGATTTCCCTCCCTCCATTCCTCCCCACTGTTCCCTGAACCTCTTCAGATATCCCTCCATCCCCCCTCCTCCCTAACTCCCAACTGCGTGGACCGATTGCTGAAAGCAAACAAGGGGGGGGAGGGGGAATGAAAGGGAGGGGGCTAAACATGGACGCCTACATGACAAAATGAACAAAAACAATTCGGGCTGTCGCGGGGCGTTTGTGGACTCGCAGATTGGGCTGCTCTGGGATCGTCACTGGGCCTCATGAGCCTCGGGGTCGCCACTGGGCCTCGTGAGCCTTGGGGCCCCTTTAGCCAATATGTGGCGTCTCAAATTTCGCGGGTCCTTTGAATCAAGACGTATTGGCTCGAGCTGCTTGTTGTATTCATTCATGTTGGCTCAAGGCGTTGACTTCGTAATGCGCTATCACTGCGAAGTAGATCGACCCCGCAACGAGAATGAATGGCTCCAGTCTTGGGACCA